CCTCTCTCCCCAGATGGCAGCCTGCGGCAAGTGCAGTCGGGCTGATGGCCGAGTGCTGTGATGTGCCCAGTGTTGGTACGCTGGACACTCCAAGCCAGGACTGCTTTGCAAGTGGGGCACCCCTGAGAACTGGCTGTCCGGGGCAGGGGTCGGGACCCTTTAAGCACAGCCCTCGGCTAGCCTGAGACAGCATCTCCACGCTCTAAGTCCTCCTCTGATGCCCTGCTGGCACTGCTTCCGGCCATCCTTAAGCCTGGTTCAGGGTCCACTTAATGTGGACATGCTAGTTCGAATTAGCAAAACGCTAATTCAAACTAGTTTTTTAGTCTAGATCCGTTAGTTCGAATTAGCTTAGTTCGAATTAACTAATTCGAACTAAGTTAGTTCGAATTAACGTTGTAGTGTAGACGTACCCATACAGAGTCAGCAGAGTGCAGGGGAAATGGGAAGCAGGTACGAGCTGGTACCCGCAGGGAGACAGCTTTGAATGCTGGCTCCCTGCAAGCACCAGCTCCCACCTGCCCCAGGGTGTAAATGTGTAACCACTGAAAATGTCAGTGGTTACATGTTTACAAAATAAATGCATTTTAACATCCCTAATTTATACTTCAGGCCAAGGGCTTTGTCCAGCTTTGCTTATGCTTTGAAGCCGTGCTGGGAGCCGGAGAGGGATGAACAGAAAATGGAGATGATATGGCTTGGTCTGGTTCAACTGCAAATACAGGGCATGGTCTGGGTTTGTCATTAGCCATTTAGCAGGCGCTATAGTTCTACTGACATCCAAACCTTCCACTCCTGTTAGCTGCTCCCTTGAGCTCTCTCGTATGGATACAGGCTAGCACATGGCTGACTTAAGACCTGGCTTCTGTTCTTATCTAGCCAAGAGTCCAAGCTACAGAGTTTGGGTCTGGAGCCTGCACTCCCTCATAGTTTGGAGGTGCTCGGATCAGTGGATTTGATTTGGCCTGTACAGTGATGGAAGCAGCGCTAGCATTGTTCTCTTACATGTGTCTCTAGTGAGCCAAGGACGCTAGTCTCCGAACACTCACCGTAGTATGTCGCTGATAAAGAATTGCTGAATGCTGTTGCTGTATTAACTAATTATTGCCTGTATTTATAATATAGCCACAACAGCATCTCTCCAGGGGGACTAGTCATTTTGGGTGTCCACCTTGAGATGCCTTAAATGAGCCCAAATTCCAAAGGAGGGCCTGGAAAAGTTTTTGAAAATCGAGCCTCATTCAGGGACCCTCAAATACAGAGTGAACCGCACATCACTAGCCACTTTGGAACACCTCAGCTCAATGTTATATAATGCGACATCAGAGGCAGCCTGAGGAGAGAGGTAGGAGAGTGTTCAGAGGAGAGCAATGGGGCGCCAGGGAAAGGTTGAGAAGGGAATGATCAGTCTGGCGAGAAGACAGCTGCAGTGACACACAATAACTACCTGCTTTTATCAAGCAGGGGGTTTATAAAGAGAGTGAGGCCCAGGTATTTTTAGCAGTCACTGAGAACAAGTGTCAGCTGTTGCTATGAAATGTACGTTAAACATTAGGACAGGACAGGTTTATAGTTTGGAAGAACGAGGCTGTGAAACACGCTGCCAAGGTGAGGCACAGACTTTCCAGCTCTGGAGATGTTCAAGGATAGTTCACCTTCTAATAGGGATGGCTTATGATTGAGATTTACCTTGCCATGATGCAGAGGTGGAAACTGGTTTGTGGGCTGGACACACTTAGGCATCTCTTCCAACCCAAACAATCATCTCATCTCATCCGTAGTTTCTCCTTTGCTCTCAGATCAGTTACAGATACCATAGAATACTAGAATTGGAAGTAATCTTGAGAGGTCACCAAGTCCTGTCCCCTGCCCTCATACCAGAACCAAGCGCCATCTAGATCATCCCTGACAGGTGTTTGTTTAACCTGCTCTTAAATGTCTCCAATGATGGAGATTCCACAACCTCTCTAGGCAATTTATTCCAGTGTTCAACTACCCTGGCAGTTAGGAAGTTTTTCCTAATATCTAATCCAAACCTCCCTTGCTGCAATTTAAGCCCATTGCTTCTTGTCCTATCCTCAGAAGCCAAGGAGAACAATTTTTCTCCCTCCTCCTTGTAGCATTCTTTTAGATACTTGAAAACTGCTATTATGTCCCCTCTCAGTCTTCTGTTTTCCAAACTAAACAAACCCAGTTCTTTCAGTCTTCCCTCATAGCTCATGTTTTCTAGACCTTTAACATTTGTGTTGCTCTTCTCGGTACCTTTTCCAGTTTGTCCACATCTTTCCTGAAATGTGGTGCTCAAAACTGGATACACTACTCCAGTTGAGGCCTAATTAGCGCAGAGTAAAGCAAAATAATTACTTCTCGTGTCTTGCTTAAAACAGTACATCCCAGAATGATGTTTGCTTTTTTGCAACAGTGTTCACTCATATTTAGCTTGTGGTCCTCTCTGAACCCCAGATCCCTTTCTGCAGTACTCCTTCCTAGACAGTCACTTCCCATTCTGTATGTGTGAAAGGGATTGTTCCTTCCTAAGTAGAGTACTTTACACTTGTCCTTATTGAACTTCATCCTGTTTCCCTCAGACCATGTCTCCAGTTTGTCCATTACACTCTGTTTACACCTGACATCAGAGAGGGCGTGAGGTACAGTGGCTAAAGCAGGGGATTCCTGGACACTGATCCCAGATATGCCACTGGCTCTGTGTGTGGCCTTAGGCAAGTCCCTTCACCTCTC